CAAAATCATAATTATAACCCTGTTAATAGTTAATAATGTTTTTATTAAAAATATATTCCGGTTTATTCTAAAATTATCTTCAGAATCTAAAATAACATACAAGAATTTTAAAATGATATTACATTATGAAACAATATTTTTTAATATACCGGGTCGTCTCAAAAGTGGCTCACCCATATAACACCAGTTATAGCTCACGTATAACTTTTTTTATTTTTTCAGATAAAAAAACAGATTTGTATTCAATTGTTTTTGGTCTCTTCCTGTTTCACCGAAATGATTACATCTTTTGATTTTTAAAGGCACCCTCGGTATATTGCTACTTTATTCGATAAAAAATGACACTCTGAATAGAATGAGATATCATATGTCAACTTTTGACATTGTCGCTTAAAAACATATCCTATTTTAAATTTCAATCCAGTTTTTTTCAATCCACTAAGTTTTAATCAAGGAGCCTTGGAAAAATAGTTTTGAATCATACATATGTCAATTTTTTCAAATGGAACAAGAGTGACTGATTAGCATATTTGGAAAAAGTATTTTTTATGAATATATTGATACCACACACTTGGTATTTCGAGTCAAATTGTCGTTATGTGAATCGCGTGTTACAATTACAATTAAACCATATGCGAAAATGTCAAAAGTTGACATATGGTATGTCATTCTATTAAGAGTGTCATTTTCTATCGAATAAAGTAGAAATATACCGAGGGTGCCGTTTAAAAATTAAAAGTTATAGTCATTTCCGGTGAAACAGGAAGTGACCAAAAACAATTGAATGCGTCAATCAATCCTAATTTATTTCATATACTAACATACTAAATCTTGTTTTTTTTATTTGAAAATATAAAAAAATTATGGGGATGAGCCACTTTTGAGACGCACCCGGTATAATAAAGACAGTACCGAGTTATAAATGTAGTTTTTATTTTATCCACTTCCTATCACCTTCCTTGCTTTAATGGAACAGATTTATGTTTGCTCTAATTTACATAATAAGACATCACTTAACCAGAAAAAAAATTACAACAATCATATTTTTTTTCTCTCCCTGTTGCCGATTCTATTATATCTGTGGAATAGATCCTGTTTTGATTAATATTAGGGGTTGTAAATGTTTGACTAAAATTAATAATTTATTATTAATTTCAAAAATTACCTAATTTCGATGATAAAATTTCTTCTATAACGTGTATTTTATTATTTTTATCCTTTTTGGACTCTAAATTGTTTTTTCTAAACTTTTATTTAAAAAATCTTAATAAAATATAAAAAAGTTTAAATACGATATATTTTTAATTTAATTATAGCTTCATTAAAATAAAAAAATTACCCGGCTATGATACGGAGAGTTCAGGTGTACTTGAGAAACGAAAGACAGTGTTGTGTTTCTCGGCAGAGTCGTCAGGGAACGACCGTTACGACAGAGACAACCTATCTATCGCTCGTGTCGCACTCGTTATAACCTAAAACAATAACACAACAATAACAAGACAGTGTCTGACCGCATGTTCCAGCTATTTATGAATGAGATGCTCAGTCTATATTTTATTTTAAGTCTATGATTGTAGCTAAACGATTAGATTTTTGCAAATTGTAAGTTTTGGGTTCGTTGAAGCCTACGATTGAGGCTACAATTGACCTACAATTTAAAAATATTTTTTCAAGATACAGAGTGTCCCAAATAACACCCTGTATATTTTATGAGACTCAGATGCACAATTGTCTATCAAGTTGTATTATACCGTTTTTTTTACCTATCTCTTCAAGTTTTCGTAGAGAAAATGCATTTTCTTATAATTTAGACCTCATTTATCAATATATCCATGGAATATTGACATTTTAGATTGTTTTTAAAGATGTAACAAATTTTTAAAGAATATACATACTAATATTGTCGATGTAGTTCGTTTATTTCAGTAAAAAAAACTGTTTAAATATTTGTTAAAGAGGACCAATTAAAATGATTCCAGCATTCAAAAACTAATACATTAATTAACTGTTTGCGTTGATTAATAATAATTGCTCCAAATACTAAAAAACTGAATATTGTATGTGTATTAGACAGTGTGGTAAAAAGTAATAGTACCATAAAAATGATATTTCATTTTTACGAATGTTTATTTATAACAAAAGAGACGTTCATTTTACAACTTAGTATTATATTGATTTCTGATTCAAATCCACATTTATTTAGAATAATTTATTAACTAATACAATTAAGTATGTAATTAATTAATATTTGGGCGGAAATAATGGTGGTACATTTAATTAATGGTGTACCCTTTTTTAAATATTTTTTTTGTATACAAATGGGCTAGTAATATTATCGTTTCTAGCACCTGTACATTTTGTACATTTGTTGCTTTAAAAACAATCTAAAATGTCAATATTCCATGGGTATATTGATAAATGAGGTTTAAATTATAAGGAGATGCATTTCCTAAGAAAACTTGAAAGGATAGGTAAAAAACGGTATAATACTAATTTGATAGACAATTGAATTGTGCATCTGATTCTCTTAAAATATACAGGGTGTTCTATTTAAATAGTTAGTACGTTAGGTAGTATTATTTTTATTATAGCATCACAATAACTGATCAATAAATAAATTTCAGTAAATATTTAGTATTGAAAACTATGATATCCTTGGAGAATTGAAGCCTTAAAATTTTTACTCCAATTTCACTAAATTGAAAATATTTCAAAAACGGTAAGGTTTGTGTGATAAACCTTAAAATCAAATTTACCTTTTTTTAATCTTAGAAACTAAAATTGTAATAATATACATACATATACATTTAAAAAATACAACTTTGATATTTTTTATTTATTTGGGACACTATATCTTGTAAAAATATTTTTAAATTGTAGCTCTAACAGTACTTCAACGAACCCAAAACTTACAATTTGTAAAAATCCAATCGTTTGGTTGCAATATTCGGTGTCGTATGTGGTGAACAACCCTGTATATGGTTCTTGTAAGAAATGTTCCTATTGATGTTATTAGATAATCGGAATAAAGAAAGTGACTGTTTCATGGTCTTTTGGCTATTATCAAAAATGTCAGCAGAAAATTAAAAATTAATCTAAATATGAAGTGTATAAACAGAATTATAAATTGAAATTCAACACTTATCAATATTTTATCGATTATTTCGATTAAAGCTATATATATATATTATTTTTGTATTTTAATGAACTAACTTATTTTGCATCTCTAATGAAGGTTTTCTCATTGAATATCTTTTATGATTATTTTGAAACTAGGTGTAAAATTTTTATTTCATTGAATTGTGTCAACATCATAAGATTTATGGGTTGTAAATAAAAATGTGTCAGTTGAGTCTATAAATATTCCCTAGGACTTCTCTGTTTACTTACTTATCTACAAATAATTCATTAAATATCAAATTATTTTTTATTTGTATTTATTAATTTACCAACATTTCCACAATTCAGACACACACAATTCAGAGTTGCATTGAGTGAAACTGCAAAGGGTAGTACAGACAGATATTGTTTACCTTTTTGCAATAGTAACTACTAACCAACGATTTCTGGTCTACTTTTATTAAAAATGTTTTGTTCATTATTCATTATTTATAGTGATTTACAGTAATTTTATTAAATTATACGAATATTCTCGTTGGTTATTGATTTGAAATAAATATGACAGTGTTTTCCAATGAAAATGCGAGTTAATAACTAATAATTCTAATTCTGAGCTGGCAAATGAGCTAGATGCTTTACCTAGACCGTTATTCAGAACTTACAAACCTATCGATGAAAATATGCATGAAATTTTACTTTCTAGCACACAACCAGAAGATATTGGTACACCAGACCACCGCCGTCATCATTTTTCAGGGTTGGAAAAAATCATGATTTTTTTAAAAAAATAAAAAAAAATCAGATTTTTTTGATTTTAATTCAAAAAAATATTTGAATCGGATTTCCAAATAACTAGGACTTATTTCCAATTAAAGTTCTATCCTAAATGGCTAAATCTATATCCCGATACCGATAACATTAACAATTCTACGGGGCGTGTGATTTTTCCACATCGGTCCCCAATATATTCCGCAAAAAAAGTCGTTCCCTTCAGATCAAAAGGATTTTTTTTCAAACGTCTTAAAAGTATTAATTTTTGTCATTTTAAACGCCTAGACATAAAAGTAAAGCACTGTTACGCCTAAGCACAAAAGTAGAAAATATATTATTAAACTGATTTTAAGTGTCAAATTCAACGAGTGTACAAATTGTTGCTCGATTACTGTTTACATTATATTTGCAATGTTTAAAATTGATTAAAAAATATTTGTAATGTTAAAAAAATAGTATGTTCTATTCGGAGTAAAAATGTACTTTTTGTGCCTCCCTGTAACGTCGGAATAGCTTTACGATGGTTCTTCAAAGGTAGAGCATCGTCAAAAAAAGTATACCTAATTTTACTCCTAATAAAACAATACACTATTGTTCTGAAATAGTCTTAAGTCGAGAATGAAATTAGTATGTAGTATCTAATGTCAAAGTGTAAAGTACTTACTGCAAATCAAAATGTCGGTAGGAATTTGGAAACATACAACCGTTTCAAAAAAAAAATATAAAACAACATATTTTCTGACAACGATTGTAGATTCTCGGGAATGAAGATATAGTCTCTATATTAGAAGAACCTAATTCTGCACTAGACTTTGCGAATGATATGTATTCGAACAGCGATTTTTCCTGACTTATACATAAATTTAAAATCCTGCGTTTAGCGGTCTAATGAATTCACACGAAATTAGTTCAAAAATCGGCCCAACAATTAAATTGATGAATAGTTATTTTTATATAGTTTTATAATGTTTGCAATTATTTTTCGATTTATTATCTGTTATATCTGTTACAGAAATATTTTTTATAGTTTTCTAGGACAACTTTTACAGTTATTTTTTGATTTATTATAAAGTTTCAATAAAATATTTCTTTTTATTTAAATCGCATTATTAAAATTAAAAAAATCACTTGATTTAAATCATGCCAACCCTGCCATTTTTCCTTTCGCTAGCTCGTGCGTTACGGCCGCTTCGCAGTCTTCATTTCTGTGACACACCGCTTTGAATTTTTACCTAAAAGCGTAAAGAAGTTTCACTTCAGTAAAACGATATGTGTGCACGGAGCTTTAAAATTGTAGATTATTTATAAAAAAATCGGTACTTAAATATTCATTATCCAAGAGAAAAATAAAATTCCTTCACATTTTCCTTTTAAATTCGTTTAGCATTTAAAATACCACGAACAGAGAGAGATTCTGATGCTGATAAGAAATTAAACAATTCAAAAAATGTCTTACTTTCTCACATCATCGTCAATTGGCTTTTGGTTAATTTATATTTAACTTCTCCAAACCATCGGTCGTGAATTGAATAACCTACGGCTATCTTACTATTGAATCAATTAAATTAAAGATCTCTACATACTACTATGGTTAAATCACTGGTAAAACTATATTCCATATTTTTATAAGTATACTGTATAGACGTTTAAATAATTTAATAATTTGCTTAGCGTCCTTGCCCATGACGAAAAAAAATTACTGGAATTTTAACAAATATTTCAATACAATTTTAAATGTGTAGGAGTGAAATCAATAACTACCTGTTTTTTTTATTATTGCCAATAACGAAGTTGGTATTTTTAAATTGAACATTCAACAATTTAGGTCATGAACTAATTCACTAGGAATTTTAATAAATATTTTTGAAATGAGTGACATGGATATTATTTTTCAATATCTAAAATTCTATAGGAAAATCAATAAGAGTTGACAATTAAAATATTTGACGGATGCACGTCGCAATGTTGTCACGGCTACTTTATTTACTTTTACTTTTGACAAGTGTTAAATAAAATTCGTAATTTTGTCACCGATTTTTTACTTAAATTTTAGATACAATACATATACAATTATTTTTGAAGTGAAACGCCTTTACGCGTGATGGGAGTAAAAATTCAAGGTCGTGACACCCAGTGTTATTCTTGAAACTTCACGGCCTTGACAGACGAACTAGCGAGAAAAAAAGTGGTAAGGATTGCACGATCGCTCAAACACCAAAAAACATTTGATTTAAAGTTAAGAAAATTATTATGTTATAAAGTTTGTTCATTCTCACAAAGTGGTGGCCCATGGTAAAAACTTAATGTTAAAATGGAAATCAAAGTCCAAACCACTATCAAAATTATTATAATAAACTTGATACTGTACCTGATATGTACCAATATCCTCTGGCTGTGTGCTAAGAAGTAAATGTTTGTAGCTTCTGAATAACGGTTATAGGTGCAGCATCTAGCTCATTTGCTAGCTCAGAATTAGAATTATTAGAGTTAAGCTTTGAATAAGAAGACTAAGGAAGGAGCATAATGCTATCCATGTATTCATGCATGGTGGGCGGAAAAGCCACCATAAAAGCTCTCTAGGGTGGGGATCCTTGACAGTTCTGTTTGACGATTCATTTGACACATTTGAATTTGATTTGAAATTTTGTGGATTTGTCAGTCTTTACGGAGCTTATTTTATGTTATTTATTATTTATTCTACTACTGATAGTTGTATAAAGATAGTAAATCTAGATGAAATTGTGGCCGCGATTTATCGAAAAAGACTCTAAAATAGTTGGTTGTGTAGCGTGCGGTAGATCTCGGCAAAAATTGAGTGAAATAATGGACAATAAATAAACAACTTTTCGCTAGTAAGTGACTAATATACTATATATATATACTATATAATATACATACGTGTAGTAAACCGATCATTTATGAAATTCACTTAAATTAACTAAATTATATATTTTTCTTGCATTTTAGCTTTTATTTATTACTTGTCAAAGATTAGATGTCAAAGAATTTAGATACGTTAATTTGACTTACCTGCTTCAGTAGCGTATCGGATGTTTGTGTTAATAAATACTTATTATAACTTATCTATTTTTATTAGAATTATATATTTTATAACAATTTTAATAACTACCAACATTTATTCACAACGTAACATAAAACAACAAATTATTGAGTCTACCCCACGTCTACCCTACATCATAGTTTTACTTTTTTTAAATAAAATTAGAACGACACTGATAAACCGGAATTTAAGTCGGCCATATTTGAGGCCCATCGCGGTGTACCTAAGATTTTTGATATGCTCCTTCCTTAGTCTTCTTATTCAAAGGAGTTAAGCAAAAAAATCAAAATGTTTTCTCTTCTTAAAAATTTAAGCGTTAACATTATTAGGCATTTTTTTAGAAGTTTTAGAATTTAGAATGAGTGGGAGGGGGGTTAATCACTTCGACCTTACAGATCCATTGTGTCCCCCTTTCTTGAATCATAACTCATCATACAGTCCCAGGGCTTTGACAAAAGCCAGTATCTGGGACGGTTTTATAGAGGGTAGTTCTCCATCTCCAATATCAGTCATACCAAAATTCATGGCACGAATGGTTGTCGTCTCGGCGCACTCAGTGATGAGGTGTACTGGTGTTTCCCCATCTTCCCCACAGAATCTGCATTCGCCGTTTCTTCTTAGTTTCAATCTACTGAGGTGTTCATTGAGGAGACAGTGTCCTGTTAAAAACCCCGTGACAATCCGAAGATTGTTCTTACTCATACCCAGGAAGATCTGTGATTTTTCTTGATCATAAGCCCTTATTAGGCATTTGCTATGGGCATTTGCATAAAAATGTGTATTATAGGTTGTATTCCACAAAATTTGCAGGCTATTGAGGAAACAGAAAATGTACAGATATAAATTGAAAATAATGTTCATATTATAACAGCATTATACAGGGTGGGTCTTAAATAAGTGCAAATATTTTCAGGGGTGGTATATTTCGACCCCAGGAACACTACTCAGCCTACGAGTATGAGTTTTTTTTCGCAAAAAAAAGATGTTGAAAATCGTGCATTTTTTAAATTTTCCTGTATATTTTTCGAAAACTTTTTAAAACTGCCTGTTCACCTCAAATTTCCCCACGGTATAATTTTTTAATCTCTGATATTAGCATAGTTACAGCTTTACTCTATGGTTACGGCACTAAAAGGGATGCAAATACAGAAAAGGGCCGGTGGCTCTCAAAATTTTTCCAAAAAAAAAATTTTTTTCAATTTTTAAACTTAAATAACTCGGTTATTTTGGACTTATTTGAAAAATGGTAAAGAGAAAATATGTTTCTTTTATCGAGATATAGGTACCAGTCCGGAGAATATTTGCACTTTTTTAGACTTACAGTGTATATTACTTTTTCCAACATGTCCGTCAAATCCTCAATTTGTCCATACTAAACTTGCCAGATGCGTGCAACTTCGTGCTTATAAATAGTCTTTATATAGCTTCTTTGCGGAGGTTAATATATGCTTTTTTTTGTATAATATAACAACAAAAGATTAACACCTTCCGCATAGAAGTTGAAACCAATGCAATCAAAACTCTTCTGCGTAACTTTGTGGATATAGGTAGGTATATCTAATTATAATCGCCATATATGTCAAATTATTTCGGACATAGGCCGAATTCGGCATCTGCCTCCAACATATACATGAAATTACTTAGCTTTTTATGTTCTACCCTTTGCTCCTTTGCTCTTTCTCGTTTTACACTATCTGTGCCAATAAGTAAAATAGTCGGTTTAAAATCAAACTAACTCCGATGTCAGCCCTGGGCTAAATGAGGTTAAGTCACGTAAATGCAGTTTGGCTCAAACATCTTTAGTTAGCTTAGAATGTTATGTCCACGGTTTCACAGTGACGAAATGGACATGTGGAACAGTGACGGTGTTTGGACTTAAAATTATTTAGCTTGATATAAGTTAAGTCCTGTAAATATTCCTTTTTTTAATATACAAATTTTGTTAAGCCACTCAAAAAAATGGCATTGTTTGTAATTTGTAATAGTATTGGCAATTTATTTAAAAAGTTTTTTACATTTCATTTAAATTCAAAATAAGTTATTCATATACCAAATATTACAATCATAGGTTTAAAAATAACCGAGTAATTAGGAAATAACTTCAAATAAAAATTTAAATCGGTTTTTCGCTAAACTATGTATTCTGACTTAACATAATTTGCTTCTCAGGTACAGATCTGTATTAGGTATTACCCTTGTATATGAATGGGTATTACTTTGTCTATCAGCGGCGTACGGTCCATGGAAGCGGGGCAATCACCTCTTCCGTAAACTTTTTAGAGATAAAAAAATAAATAGTTAACGTTAATAATACTGTTATTTTATAACAAAAGATTAATTTAATTTGTTAAAATTATTTATTTGAAACTTTACATAAACGTATCTAGTAAATTTAATTAGCCTGTTACTGCATGGGAATCGCCGGCGGTCGCCTATCCCTCCTTCATGTAGGTGTTATTGACCTTGAACGCAAACGACAAATTTAAGCCGGAAAATCGCGCACACTTGCTGGCCACGGCAGCGATCTTTCGGCCGCCTTCTTTGACTTTTAATTTATCGGGACGGGTTCGCTTGCGATTTTATAGGTAATATTATAATAAATTAAATCCAAAATTTTATGATGATGTTATAGACAAATTTGCAATGGCTGATAGACGAATAGACCTCAAATACAAATAGGTGCCTATCGCGCATCAAATGCTTCGGAAAATTAAGTTAAAATATCGTATTTTAACTATTATAACTTTATGTGTTTTTATTTCTTTAACAATTTTCGATAGAATTTTAATCGAACAATGGAATTGGCCTCGGAATTTTCAAAGGTAAGTTTTTTTAAGAAAATGAAAAAGTAATGTCTCGAAATAGGGTTTTTTACCGATTCGCTTCCCCGCCTATAATTGTCACCGCACGCCGCTGTTGTCTCTTGATTATTACACAAACAAATTTTAACTAAATAAAGTTATTAGCAATTTCAATTTTCCGAATGAAAACTGAAAAATATACCTATAATGTTCTAGTTGGTTAACATTGGTCTTCATTTTTTGTGAGATTCTACTTATTACCTCTATTATCTATGATTCTACTCAGTCCGTGACATGTCGAAGTTTTAACTAAACACAGCGCAGATTTAATTTCAAATTTGTCAAAGAAAACTCGAAAATACGAATAAAATTATTAAAAATAACAAATATCACATTGGCAAAGAAAAATGTCATGACGACCGGCAACAATTTTCATGACTACCAACATTCAACAAGTCTTTGTAATCAGCCAACTCGTTTATTTCATGCTGTCTTTTTTAACAAGGATATAAGTTTATAGAAAAAGGAGTGCGCTCTAAGTTTCAAACGAACTTTTATTTATTAGAAATTGTGGTTAAAATTGTTAAAACCTGTGGTAGTAGTTTCGAATGCTTTGATGACGTGCATTCCAACTGTTATTAATTTCTCTATAGTTTTCCTGAATTAATCCCCTTTGATCACAAGACAGTATTTATTAAGCTTTATTTGAAAGCGATAATTTTGAATATAAATATTGAACGACTATGAAAAGTGTGGAAATTATTCATTACTTCTTTTCCATGATATATCATTACAATATAAACCTCGTATCTTTGTTGTAAACATCGTGTGATGTAATAAAAATGTGTTGTGTTCGAATTTTTTATCTGTATTTTAACACCTTTTTAGTAGGTTAATATCAAAAGTGGTGATTGTATAGATTAAGTAGTATTTAGAATCTATTATAATCAACATGCGATCACCATATTTTGTAATAGAGAATAATTTAGTTCTTTTATTTTTACAGCAAATGTTTGTAATTTGTTATTCAGTATCTACAAATTTCTTTTTTAAACCAGCAAAATTTAAACTT